AATGCACTTGTTATATGATTGGATAAAAAAAAAACAAAAAACTCACCCCAATTATTTAGATCTCTTAATCAACAATAGTGGTTTCCAATTGAGTGTTTTCAAAGTTATTGTGTCCAAATCACAATGAGCGTTTTCAACCTCTTTGAAGAAGGTTTCCAAATTACTTACATCTTCCACTTAAAATCATTTTTGATTTTCGTTCTAAAACTTATGTTAGAAAAATTTTAGAGTAAAAAAATTGTTATATAATATACAAGCATATATCAGATATATTAAACACAAACATACTAAAAAGCTTAATAAAAGATAAAATCATCATGCTAAGTCTTTATGTCAGTTTGATGTGCTAAACTTTACTTAAGATCCATAACTCAAATTATAGAATTAAATTATAACTGTGGTAAAGAAAAGTCATCGGGCAAAAGAAATCCGTAGACTCAAAATTGATGGCAAAAGTCAAAAGTAGAACCAAAACATGTATAGTTTGGTTATTAACCTTTATAGTTTATACTTTATACGTATCAACATACTCCTGAACCTCTTTCTCCTTTTGTCTCAAGCACACAAAAAAGACAAAAAAAAAAAAAAAAGTAGTTATGGTGGGTCATCGTGATGGTGATGATGGATAGCTACAATTTGGATGGCAGGGTGGCGGAGGCGGTTAGGTATTGGAGATGGTGGAGATATATAATTTAGGAGGCGAAGAAAGTGGCGGCGGCAACTATAAAGCAAATGGTGGTCAAGGTTGTGGTGAATGCCGTCAACATTTAGCCACCGATGGTAACGAAGATGGGGTCAGCGGCGATTGAGGTGATTACGGTGTCCGTGTCAGTAAGTAGTATAGGGGTTAGATAGTAAGTTAGGGTAGATAGATGTTCATATATGGATAAAGGTGTTGTTCGTTGCCGAAAAATTGGTGCGGGTGTAGACAATTGTTGGAGATGGCGGTCAAGTGCGATGATAGCAGCTCTCAGAAGATTAGGGTTTATAGGTATTGGATTGAGAGAAAATATGAGTTAACACTAAAATGGGAGAAATAATGTTATTGTTTAATTTTTTGAACCAATGAAACGGATACGTTGTATTTTTTTTTAGTTAATTAAAAATATACCTTATAAGTTATATGACAAGTAATAAGCATAATATGTTTGTAAGTGATGTATTGAATTTTGTTCTTCTTAAAATTCAAGAAATATTTAATATGTTTTATATAATAGTAAAGATAGTAAAGATAAATATATTTAAGTTGTTTTATAAATAAATAAATAAGGGAAAATTTCGTATATGCCATTCTTAAACATCAAAATATCGTATTTGTCCAACCTAATTTTGAAATATCATATCTTTATCTTTACTATGTTATTAAGGATATTGCCCATTTTTTGAAAATTAAGAGGTATAACATATATTACCTCATGTACAATAATATTAAGCATAAACAAATCTTATACGTATTACACTACACGGATATACATATTACACTACACACTACAAGGATCTTACCATAATCTCATAAACATTGCCGCCATCAAACCAATTCTCATCGTCTCCACCAAAGATGTTGTGATCTCCACCAACATCTCCACCAAAGATGCAGTGACCTCCACCAATGTCTCCCACCGAAGCTCCACGACTGCCGACTTACCCCACCAAAGATGCAATGATCTCTCTCGCCTCTCTTTCTCTCTCTCTCGCAATCGCCATCAGAATGAAATGGAAACCCTAATTTTGAGATGCCTACAACGAGGTATGTCCACGTTTATTGTGATTACAAACTCATAAACACCTCACGACCACACACACAAAAATGTACAAAAACACCATCTACATCTTCAGATGAACATCATCGCTTTCTTTTCCCAAGTCATTTATCCTCTGTGAACATCATCGGTTTTCTTTTCCCAAGTCATTTATCCTCTATAAATTGTCGAGCATATTGAAGAACTTGAAGGTAATTATAAGCCTATTCTTGATTTTTTTCAGATACTATTCAGTCTTTATATGCATAACTTTTTTCTCAATCCCCGATTTTTGAGTTGTCTGATTGTGGGTATACGTTGATTGTAATTGTTGGGTATTAAGGATCCGCTTAGGCCAGGGGTTAAGGAAGCGGTGAAGATTTGTTTAGCAGCTGGGATTAAGGTCTTTAAATAGGGTCCAAGACCCCAAATTATAGTTTTAATCTGGCCTGATGAACGTAGTGCCTTCCCTCGGGGAACGCAAAGCGTTCCTAAATGCACTTGCGTCCAAATTCCCGTGTACACCATGGGTACCTCCCTTGTACGCCATGCATTCCCATTTTGGCCTAACACCCTTATAACTTCAAATAGTCATAACTTTTGCATCCCTTATCCGTTTTCGACATTCTTTATATCCACGAAAAGGTAACGAGAAACCCTACACTTATATAAACCTTATTTAATCTGAAAACCAACCAAAATTAAATCCAAAATTCATAAAAGGCCCGAACCAACGCCTTTACCGATACCCCTGAGATCCAAAACACAAAACGAATACCCGAATAATCCAAACTACATCATCCACCTCCAAATGAACCCAAAATCAATTCTTTAAGGGTTCTAAGTGTGTTAATACCCACTCCTTGATCACCACCTCACAATGAGAAACGATTCGAAATAGGGCGTTACACTTATTTCTCTGTATCACATGATCTCAAGTGTATTTGAACTTTGTTCATTTAGTGACATGCTTCACTGACAACTAAAACCTAATTTCACCACCAAAATATAGAAAATAGAAAAACTAAAAGAAGGAAGAGAAAATACAAGGATAGGAGAAGACTTTGGTGGTAGAATGTGGTGAAGATGATCATGTATCTTGGTGGTTTAAGGGGGCAACGACAATGGCAAATCACGGTGTTCGAAGGCCATAAACATATACTATAAGTGTATGAATATGATAAACTATTAATTTGACCAAACCACTTAGTTACAGTCTTATTGGTATTTAATTGTTAACACTTATCTATAATCTAAGTGGTATTTGGCAACTAAAATTTTGGCTTCAATTTTAATTTTTTAATGAAAAAACTAATGAACCTAGTTAATTATAAATAAGAAAGTCAAATTTTGCTTTCTTCAACCAATATGCTACTGTAAAAAAAATTGGAACCATATATAATAAATAAATCAAGCAAGTGGCTGGAAAAGAAAGACAATGTTTAAAGACAAAAATAATCCAACGTGAGAGAAATCTTGCACAAGGACACATCTAAACAAACACCTAATATCAACAACATGAAGACAACTAATCCAACAATAACATGACAGTGCTTCCAAGCATCTTACATACAGAAATAGGGAACAAACTTTGATGAGTTAGGCTAACTGAATCTGGAGCTTTTGGTCTACAACAAAATGAGTTTTTTAAGGGTAAAATCATCCAAATCTTTTAATCTAATTACCAAACAAACCAGACAAAATTAAGGCAGACCGTACAAACAAATGTAAGAAAGTGCATTGTTGTTTCTTGCATTTAATCCAAATTAAATGCAAGTAATATAATACTATTGTCAAACACATTGTCCCATTTAATGCATTTAACCTTCATTGAAAAAAAGGTTGTTGACAAAATGATCTAATAAAACATACAAATTAAGAATTATAAACTACAGAACTTACACATTACAAATGCAAAAGATCCAAAGTTAACTAGTCTTCAAAACTCATTTTTTTACATCATATGATAATTGAGTGTGTGGTGCAAATTAATGCCTTATTTTTAATCATTTTCTTTTGTAACCTTCCATCCTCACAAAAAATTTAAAGAAGAATGCCTTAAAAAAATGAAATACCAGAATGTTGCAGTTGACAAAAAAAAATGAAAAAATAATATAAATGAACAAAAATAGGATGTTATATTATTAAATAAATGAAAGTGTATCGCTTTAGAAAAGCAAAAATCAAACACTTTTTATAGCCTTTCAAACGACTCCTTTACCTTACCACCATATTCCTAATTAAAAAAGAAATTATTCAATCTCTTATTTGTTGTTGTTGCTATTTGGTTCATGTGGGTTGCTACTTGCTAATTACCCTAATCTGATGCTTAATCAATTCGTCAAACATAAAGAAAAATATCAAACCTGTATCGAAAAAATGCACTTGTTATATGATTGGGATAAAAAAAAAACAAAAAACTCACCCCAATTATTTAGATCTCTTAATCAACAATAGTGGTTTCCAATTGAGTGTTTTCAAAGTTATTGTGTCCAAATCACAATGAGCGTTTTCAACCTCTTTGAAGAAGGTTTCCAAATTACTTACATCTTCCACTTAAAATCATTTTTGATTTTCGTTCTAAAACTTATGTTAGAAAAATTTTAGAGTAAAAAAATTGTTATATAATATACAAGCATATATCAGATATATTAAACACAAACATACTAAAAAGCTTAATAAAAGATAAAATCATCATGCTAAGTCTTTATGTCAGTTTGATGTGCTAAACTTTACTTAAGATCCATAACTCAAATTATAGAATTAAATTATAACTGTGGTAAAGAAAAGTCATCGGGCAAAAGAAATCCGTAGACTCAAAATTGATGGCAAAAGTCAAAAGTAGAACCAAAACATGTATAGTTTGGTTATTAACCTTTATAGTTTATACTTTATACGTATCAACATACTCCTGAACCTCTTTCTCCTTTTGTCTCAAGCACACAAAAAAGACAAAAAAAAAAAAAAAGTAGTTATGGTGGGTCATCGTGATGGTGATGATGGATAGCTACAATTTGGATGGCAGGGTGGCGGAGGCGGTTAGGTATTGGAGATGGTGGAGATATATAATTTAGGAGGCGAAGAAAGTGGCGGCGGCAACTATAAAGCAAATGGTGGTCAAGGTTGTGGTGAATGCCGTCAACATTTAGCCACCGATTGGTAACGAAGATGGGGTCAGCGGCGATTGAGGTGATTACGGTGTCCGTGTCAGTAAGTAGTATAGGGGTTAGATAGTAAGTTAGGGTAGATAGATGTTCATATATGGATAAAGGTGTTGTTCGTTGCCGAAAAATTGGTGCGGGTGTAGACAATTGTTGGAGATGGCGGTCAAGTGCGATGATAGCAGCTCTCAGAAGATTAGGGTTTATAGGTATTGGATTGAGAGAAAATATGAGTTAACACTAAAATGGGAGAAATAATGTTATTGTTTAATTTTTTGAACCAATGAAACGGATACGTTGTATTTTTTTTTAGTTAATTAAAAATATACCTTATAAGTTATATGACAAGTAATAAGCATAATATGTTTGTAAGTGATGTATTGAATTTTGTTCTTCTTAAAATTCAAGAAATATTTAATATGTTTTATATAATAGTAAAGATAGTAAAGATAAATATATTTAAGTTGTTTTATAAATAAATAAATAAGGGAAAATTTCGTATATGCCATTCTTAAACATCAAAATATCGTATTTGTCCAACCTAATTTTGAAATATCATATCTTTATCTTTACTATGTTATTAAGGATATTGCCCATTTTTTGAAAATTAAGAGGTATAACATATATTACCTCATGTACAATAATATTAAGCATAAAACAAATCTTATACGTATTACACTACACGGATATACATATTACACTACACACTACAAGGATCTTACCATAATCTCATAAACATTGCCGCCATCAAACCAATTCTCATCGTCTCCACCAAAGATGTTGTGATCTCCACCAACATCTCCACCAAAGATGCAGTGACCTCCACCAACGTCTCCCACCGAAGCTCCACGACTGCCGACTTACCCCACCAAAGATGCAATGATCTCTCTCGCCTCTCTTTCTCTCTCTCTCGCAATCGCCATCAGAATGAAATGGAAACCCTAATTTTGAGATGCCTACAACGAGGTATGTCCACGTTTACTGTGATTACAAACTCATAAACACCTCACGACCACACACACAAAAATGTACAAAAACACCATCTACATCTTCAGATGAACATCATCGCTTTCTTTTCCCAAGTCATTTATCCTCTGTGAACATCATCGGTTTCTTTTCCCAAGTCATTTATCCTCTATAAATTGTCGAGCATATTGAAGAACTTGAAGGTAATTATAAGCCTATTCTTGATTTTTTTCAGATACTATTCAGTCTTTATATGCATAACTTTTTTCTCAATCCCCGATTTTTGAGTTGTCTGATTGTGGGTATACGTTGATTGTAATTGTTGGTATTAAGGATCCGCTTAGGCCAGGGGTTAAGGAAGCGGTGAAGATTTGTTTAGCAGCTGGGATTACTGTGCTAAATTAGATGCAAAAAAACGTGAACTAGCATTGAGAATTCAGGTGAAGATTTGTTTAGCAGCGGTGAAGATTTGTTTAGCAGCTGGGATTACTGTGCTAAATTAGATGCAAAAAAACGTGAACTAGCATTGAGAATTCAGGTACAAACAAAAAAACGTGGTGAGAGCTAGATCAAAATTGTAACTATTTTTTTTTTCTTTTCCTTTATTTTGAAACTCAGGAGAATGGGTGGTTAGTTCTCCAAGACAAGTAATGACTTACAGTCCTTACGTACATTACAGGTAGTGGCTAGATCATCACCAACAGACAAGTTAAAGCTTGTAACACATTTGAGGGGTATGTCTGAAGTTGTTGCAGTCACAAATGATGGGACAAATGATGCTCTAGCTTTACATGAATCAGATATTGGATTCACCATGGGTATAGCAGGAACAGAGGTTGTCATAATGTAACAAATGATGCTCCAACTTTACATATATTACCTCATGTACAATAATATTTGCGAAGTACCTCTTCAAATATGTTTATAAAAGGTCATGCCAAACAAGTTACCCATGTTGATAAAGACCAATAAAATATTGTTATTAATGAGATATGAAAGTTTCAAGACGTACGTTATGTATCCCGTCCTGAGGCATGATAGCGAGTTTTTAGCTTTCCTTTTTCAAAAATCCACCCTTGTGTGATGGCCTTGCAAATACATATCCCGAATCAACAATTGGTTAGGTTCAAAGATGGTGACAGAATGGAAGACATTGTTGATAGGGAGAAATAAAGAAATTCGACGTTGATGGTATTTTTCAAGAAGAATAAAAAAGATTCCAATGCGAGAAAATATTTGTATAAGGATTTTCCCAAACATTTTACATGGAATCGAAGCAACCATTGTTGGAGGACCAGGGAACATAAATCAATGATTGGTCGACTTGTTTATGCTAATCCAGCTGAATGAGAGAGATACTACCTACGCCTGCTTTTATGTCATATTACTTACTGGACCTACCCGCTTTGAAGATTTATACACAGCCAATGGTGTATTACACCCTACATTTTGAAAAGCAGCTATTGAAAGATGTTTAATAAAGACCGATGATAATTTATCACAATGTCTTGTAGAGACTTCCTTGTTTTAATTTCCCAACGCATTTAGAAGGTTATTTGCGACGTTGCTGGTTTTTTGTGAACCAGGAAATGTTCGCAAGTTACGGGACAACCACTATGATTCTCTTTCTGAAGATTATAGGAAACAATATGGATGTGCCGAACGAGTGCAAAATATGGTCCTCATCGACATTAGAGTCGTCTTAGAATCTATGAGTAAAAAGCTTAGTGATTACGACATTCCAAATGTCAGTGCACACATCGATTTACAATTAAGAGGCTATCGTGAGGTGCAAGAAGAATACTCTATAAATGTGGAAAAATGAAGACTTACTTGCGCGAGACTCTCTCAATCCAGACCAGAAGTTTGCATATGATGAGATAATGAGGCATGTGGATGAAAATATTCCGAGTGTGTTCTTCATAGATGGTCCCGGTGGAAATGAAAATATATTTTTGTACAAAGCTTTGTTGGCTAATATTCATGCCCGTGGTCTTATTGCACTTGCAACTAACAACATGTCAGGAGGTAGAGCAGTTCATTCACGATTTGGAATTCCCCTCAATCTTGATAATAACTCGATGTGCAAGATCACCAAACAAAGCGGGAAGGATCAACTACTTCGCGAGGCAAAAGTACTCATATGGGATGAAGCAACAAGTGTTGCCGGTCGTGAGACGTGACACTTGATCACAAATTGTGGACTCTAGCTTACGAATGTCACCTCTATGAGCTTCAGTTAAAAGGCTTCGATTAAATATTAAAATGAGAGCGGTAAATGACCCATGGTTTTCTGATTTTTTTTATTACGAGTCAGTGATGGAAAGGAGGAAACATTGGACGATTCTTGGATGCTTTGATTGATGCAATATTCCCTTCTTTTCAATCCAACGACGCCAATTCAAAATTTATCATTTCGAGGGCGATAATGTCAACTAAAAATAAAAGTGTTGATGAGATTAATAATAAGTTGATCGAATGATTTTCTGGCGAGCAAAAAGTTAACTATAGTTTTGATGAAGCGGAAGATGAAAAAAATAACTTATATCTGATGGAATATTTGAACTCGCTAAATGTTAGTGGTGTACCCCCTCATTATCTTCGGTTAAAAATTGGGTGCCCAGTAATACTTTTGTGAAATATCGATCCGTCAAATGAGTTATGTAATGGCACCAGATTGATATGTCGAGCTTTCCAACAAAATGTCATTGATGCAGAGATAGTTGTTGGCCAACATGCTGGAAAAAGAGTGTTTTTACCAAGAATTCCTCTATGTCCGACTGATCATGAGATGTTCCCATTCAAACTAAAGAGAAAGCAATTTTCAATTCAGCTTAGTTTCTCTATGACAATCAACAAAAGCTCAAGGATAAACAATTCCAAATGTAGGTGTTTATATGTCATAATCGGTATTCTCACATGGCCAACTTTACGTGGCGTTGTCCAGAGGAATATCACGTGTCAATACCAAGGTATTAGTATAACCGGAAAAAACTTTTGATAATGATGGAATCTACACATCAAACGTTGTGTAATAAGAAGTTTTATGTGATTAACAAGGTACAATCAACAACTTATTATTTTACAATTTCTTCAAATGTGTATCTTAGATGCGTATTTGATGTTTGATGCAAGGCTTACAGATGAAGCAACATGATTGTAGATTGGTGTAGTTTATATATTGGAAATGTTATAAATGTACAAACCTACATGATTGCAGATTGTTGTTATATATATATATATATATATATATATATATATATATATATTGTAAAATCAAGTATGAACTATTAGATGAAATTCCAAATGTAGACTTAAATTCTGTCGTATTGTATGACTATGCACCTAGCAAGAGACTATCCGTTGAAATGAACTATTCGACACAAAATAGTCTACCAAATGACCGCAATGAATAGCTCACGTCTAAAGTAAAGTAATCATCACTGATAAACTATCTTCTGAAAGAAACTCTTTGCCGCCCGACGCTTAGCGCGGGTAAACGGCTAGTTTACCCTTGATAACCTTTCAAAGTATCATATTTGTCCAAATCCTTATTTTTAATATATTTTAAATTTTTTATAATAAATGTTAAAATTTTAAAATGACCATAATTATAGAAAAAGTTAAAATACCAATATTGTCCCTAATCTTATATTGTTGGAATTGTCTTCTATATTACAATCACATCACAAACGATGTTTAGGGTTTTGGAGAAGTTAACATCTAGCTTAGAGATACATTTAGATTGGTCAAGATCAAATGGTTTACTAATATACATTATGTAATGCCTATACTGATTAAGTAAGTTTTATATAGGATTATAATTTATTATCTCCAAGCAACATCAGATTAGCAACATGCTGATTAAGATAATGCATATATATATATATATATATATATATATATATATATATATATATATATATATATATATATATATATATATATATATATATATATATTATAATGCTTATAAAAAAGATGGTATCTAATGGTATTGCATATGTTTCAAATAGTATCGTAATTTTACTACACTTTATGTTGTTAGTATACATTTATAACATTAATCCAATAAAAACTCTCCATTAAAGATGCTTTTATGTACTAAGTTCAATTTTGAAAAGAAATTTTGATTGGACGCCAATCACAGGAGCTTCCGTGAACCCTAAGAAGCATATATAGGGTGTGACGTTGTGGGCAGCAAATACAAAACTCTCTATATTTATATTATTATCCCAATTGTAGGATCCAAAACAACAACCATCAAATACAATCTTCTCAACTAAATAAAAAAACATGATATTGAAATCAAAAGCACAAAGAGCATTTAAAACAATATTTATTCACAATCGATGGTCTAAAACTTATAAATTAGTTGTTGTTTAATGATAAATTTTAGAAAAAAAAAACGATATAAATTTAGATTTACGTAAATATTATATTTTGGAAGTTTATGAGAGATATAATAATATTTTATAACTATATTTATAAAAGGGTATAATGGTCAATTAATAAAAATAAAAATTTAAAATGATTATAAAATGTTTAAAAATATTAAATTTAAAGATTTGGGCAAATTTGATATTATTAAATCTTATAAAGGTTAAATATGATATTTTAAAATTAGGTTGGACAAATATGATATTTCAATTTTCAAGAAGGATATATATGAAATTCTTCCTATAAATAAATGATTTGTTATAAACAAAACTAAAAAAATGGTTCCTGTTGTATGCATTTTTTCTGATGTTTAGTCCAAAACTTGGTTTTTTTTGGCTTTATGGTCTTTTGGGCTAGTTTCATTGTAGAATTGGTCCTCAATAAACTTGATATAATAATATTTTTAGGATCAAAATTGCAAAAATCAGTTATACTTGGTGACCAAAGATAACCAAATACTTGGAACATTACCTCAAATGTTCTAACAAGGACCCAAATTTACAAATTAGCTATAATAAGGAAATAATTGAATGACATTAATTATTGGATAATGATATATGAGCAATTGGGGAAATGAAGATGACGAGTGGGATGTCCTTCAAAGCATAACATAGATAGACGTTCACATAAAACATAACATAATGCTTCAAAACTATCACTTTCAAAGTTTTTTACAGATTATGTGGACATATTACAGACATGAACCATCTTAATCAAACAAAACTTGAAAAAAAAACTGAAAATAAATAACACATAAAATCATATTTATGTGAACAAATTACAAACATATGACATATTACTATAAGGATAGATTACAAACATGAACAATTTTATGAAAACAAAACCTGGAAAAAACCAAAATGTGAAAATAAATATACACAATTACATTTATGTGGACATTGAACATATTACAAAAATTACTCTATGCGCACATCAACACATAACTTGAGCATATCAACACATTTTTTCACACATCAACATTGCATATGAATCATATAAACTCACGAACAGGAACATGTTAAAGAAACCTTAAAATTAGTCATTGGAGTGTTTGGACTTTCAAAAATCAAAACTTATATGATGGATGTGTCGTCGCCGGTGGAGTAAACGCATTCGACTTTTTTGGTTTTGGTCCAAAAGGAAAATATTTTTCATATTTTGGTTTATATTTCCGTGTTTCATGAAGAAAGTAGAGAATAAAAGGGTAAAATTGATATTTTTATAAATTTTATGGATGACCTGTCAACTTAGGAACAAAATACACAGATGTTACGCAAACTAAATAAAATATTGGTTATTTTTTATATAAATTCAACATATAATATTTCTTTTCTTCTATATCTAAACAAACTATGCCATTTGAGAATTGAGATCTTAAAATGTTTTGCATAACCGAAAAGGGTCAAATGATCAATCCCGACAATAAGACATAAGTTTAAATAGAGGAATCTAACTATAAAAATCCAAAATTGAGAGAATAAAGATCAAAATCATATCTAATTATGTTTCGTATATACACATGTATGGTAAGGAAATATAAGCTCAAAGTCAAGAACACCCATAAAATGAAGATATGTCAAGAAAGGTCTATGAAAATACAGATAAAACTCTAGCTTTTCGTCCTTGATCATCTTCATTCCTCATCCGAGTTCATAGTAAATTGGTTGGAGAACAATTTCATCATAAAAACGCACAATGGTTATAAGAAAAAACATAGAGAAATTAAATATCTTCCTACATTTCTTCATACATGTTTTAGACACGTGTCACATAAATGTATTAAAATATTATTATTTTCATTAAAGGTGACATATTTAAGATGGGTAAAAAGTTATGTAGGAAAAATATGTAAGAGGATATTTAATTTCTAAAAAAATAATACCGATTAAAGAAAAAGACTACCAATAATGCAATGTATGAAGTACATCAAATGCAGTGTAGCATCTGTCTTAAATTCACTCCAACACAACCATTTTAAAAAGCGTACCATGGCGCGCGCCAAGGCGTGCCATCGCGTGAGGCGTGACTTCGTCGTTACGAAAAGTCCCATAACATTGCTGTTAGGCGTGACGCGTGACAATGCGTGATATGGCGTGCCATGATGCGTTATGGCGTGTATTTTCTCGTTTGAGACACGTTTTTTTTACTCTTTGTTATGCCTTTTCTAATAGGGGATACACGTATTGTGTTTGTTGTTAACTTTTTGTTATTAGTTGTTGGTATAACACTTCTAAAAAGTACTTATATTTAATATAATTTTATATGTATGTGGTAATATAATTATAAAATAATAAAAAATTGCCGTCTTGAAAAACATTATGACTTGCCATGACTCATTAAGTTTGATGTTTGACCTTGCCGACAACCCATGCTATTTAGAACCTTGACCATAACTTAAGGTTCACAATTAATTTCATCATCATATGATCATTTTCATAATTTAAATTCAAGCTAAAACATAAATATAAATAATGAATAAATTAACATATTATTATTAAATTTACTTATTTTTTTAACAGAAAAATAGAATTTAAATAAATTAATATGTTTAGGTTGTTTTATAAATAAGTAAATAAATAATTTAATATGTTAGTTTTTTAAGGTGAATTTTAGAAAGATGTTAATTTTGGAAAGGTTTTAAAAAAAAAAAAAAAAAACCCACCGTTGGAAGTCAAAAGGTTAGTCGGTGTATTGGCGCTTAATATTCCCACCTTCCTCACTCTTCCATTCTTCATTCATCCCGACGGAGAGACTACTCGCTCTAAGTTTTCATTCACTCTTCACTCACTCCCTGCTCTCCGAGCACCGTCGGGGACAAGTTTCTTTTAAGAAGAAGCAGAGAAGAAGAGGGTTTTATTTGTAGGGGATATCTTTCACATCGCTTTATTCTCCTTTTCTTCTAGCGACACCGACTTTTCCTCTTTCTTTCATTCTCCGGCGTTCAAGAATCATCTGTCTTTCCCTCTTCGTCTCTTAGGTAACGTTCTTGATTTTTTTTGTGTGTATTTTTTTTTTTTATCTTTTTAGTTATTTTCAATTGGGCCAAGATTCTTCGGGTCTCTCGTCATAATGCGATTGGGTTGTACCTTTATGCATTGTAGTTGTATGAAGTCTGGTTACGATGCCCTTTTGGTTCGCCGTCATCGATCAAGAAAAGCAGATCTTTCTCTAATGATCTCCAGGTAGCGTGTTTAATTGTATCTTTCTAATAATGACGTGTTTTAGGTAACTTTTTATGTCATGAAACTGGGTCTTTCGTTTTTTCTTCTAAGCATGCATAATCATCGCTAAAAGTATCAAACGCTATACCCAAGGATCTACTTGAACTATATTAAAAAATGTTTACTTGTTAATTGTTTTTCTGTGCACTTTAGGTGTTTGATGAAATGTCTTAATTAAGTTAAAGAGGTGTTTTGCTTTGTTTTGTGGGTGAAAATGTTACTGGATTAAATTATGCATAGAGGTAAATAATCACAAGCCAAAGTAAAATATTTAACTTATTGAGATTTAGAAATTCAATTAGGGAAAGGTAAAAGTTTCATATAAAGTTGTTTTGAAACAGAATTTGATTGTGATTCTTACAGAAATATTGGACTTATGTTTGTAATAAGGCTCTATGAAGATTAAAAAGCTTGTGGTTTGTTCAACATCAGAGACAAGCCCTGTAATCTGGTTTTATCAGTAGAAGAGGCTGATAATGCACAGGTAGTCTGATTGCTTCCAGTTATGCTTTTGTTTTATTTCTTGCGCATCTATTTTTGTTCGTCACTTTGTAAATGTTATTCCATTTTCCAGTGGAATACATGTCTAAATCAGCATATTGTTTTTCTTTGCTACCTTTTCTATTATAGTTTTGACAGCAATTTAGGGCATGTTTTGTTCATAGATCCATAGAAAGTTGAAGGAATTGTAATGGGAGATTCCTTCAGTTACACACTTGGTTGACAAAATGGATGGAGTTGGATTCCATTAAATTCAAACAAAATCTGTATTCAAAGTTTTTAATAATTGTTTGATGTTTATATGGTTTGTTAATAACTGTTTCTTAAATAAAATATTTTTTCAGTAAATAGCATTTCTATCATTTTATAAGAAAAAAACTAAAGGGTGTTTCGGTCAACCATTCACAATTCCTTTGCAAACTAATTACAAAACAACAGATGAATTGAATCAAAATCCTTTCTATTTGCTGTCAACCATACACATGAAAAATTTCATTCATTTCAAAAATATTTGTTCCCTTATATTACTGAGATGAATTGCTATGCTTAGTTCCAATTCGTTTGAGAAATTCCATTTTGTTACTCTACAACAAGAAAAGGTTTTAATTTTATAAACCAAATAAAGAACTTATGGTGGGGAAGAAGGAAAAAAAGAAGCTCTCTAGAATGAATGTGTTAAAACTTCATGCTTTTTTATGTTCTTATTTAGCTTTTCTGTTAATGCTTAAAGGTACACTTTTAGTTCCATTGAATCTCAAATAAGGGTGTTGTGTAGGGTGAGTTTGTCTTTCTATCTTACTTGAATCTTCACTAGTTAATGCTTTTTATTGTTTCTTTCTGCCATCTACACCCATACACAACATTTAAAATCCATCACGTACAGCTTTCTGAAGTACGTGTAGTGTTTTTGATTATAACCAACCTGTTGCTTGATCTTTCACTTTTACAGCAGCCACTGAGTCCATGAAGTAAAACTAAAAATCTAAAGGCTAACAAAATAGCAACCTAAGCAACAGCAAAAGACATCAGAATGTCAGATATAACAACAAGAGAAGACTTCAAAATCTCTAACAACATGAGTTTCTTTGGTTTGACTTAATCCTTCATGATGTCTGATTTGTTAATTGTGCAGACCCCTGACTTTCTTCAGTTGTCAAAGCAGATTTAGAAGAAGCTGAAAGAAATTGATCAAAAATGGTAAATTCTTTTGGGAGAAATTAACATCCATGGGTTCAACATTTAGCTTATCCAACTGATTTTGGAAAAAAAAACTTATATCTGATTGTGTACTTGATTGTGTACTGAATCTGACATAAGGCACATAATCCTTTCTTTCTTTTTCAATAAGTTCTACACTGATGTAGTGCTACCTGGATGATGATGTCTTAAGATTTCTGGATTTGTGTCTATATCTATCTATGTTTGACTTGATTAAAAATGCTTTCATTTAGCTAGCGAATAATACAATCTATGTTCACTTAATATAAAAGTTCTTGATGTGAAATTTATAATTGATGTGTAATATTCATTTTTCAGAAGTAAAACTTGTGGATTTTCAAGAGATGAAGTATACAAAGATGAAGTGTAAACATATGTGGATTGATGTCAGTGGAAAGTTGGATAGGGACCGACTGACTCTTGATCTTTCGTCTGAGTAAAAGACGAAAATAACCTCTACATCCTCATCATTTCAAATTTTCCCTAGAAAGACAGAATTTTGAGTTGATGATTAACATTTATTAGATTTTGTCAGGAGAGAAGTAACTGATAAAGAAGGAAGGGTTCATACTGGAAGCTGCTTGAAGATTACAGTAAGTATTTTCAATTTTTCTTATTGAAGCGTTGTACGTTGAAAAAACTACCCAATTAAATTGCAGTGTTATGAATGTAGTGAAATCGGCTTTGTTGTTTTTCTTTTGGTGTAACATCATGAAGATTTTTGATAGTATATAGATTCTAATAGTTGAGGATCTTTCATCTACCTTGAGTCATCATTGTTGTCGATGCGGAATAGCCCACTTCTCAAATGCAACAGTTGAAGGATTTTGTTCCTGATAGATCTATCATCTCAACTCTGAAGATATTGTGACACACTTGGTTGACAAAATCCATATTCTAAGTCTTTAATAATAGTTTTATAAATAAAATCTTTTTTCAATAAATAGCAATTCTATCATTTTATAATTATATTAGTGTGAGATGAATTGCTATACAAGTGGGCACTGAAGGTCTCTGTATCAGAAGTTTTACAGGTGATCTGAACTTACCTAATTTTCCATTATAACATGTTCATATATCAGTTTATCTTTCATATATTTTGATTTGTTCAATGTGCAGACCTTGAGATTCTTCTGTTGTCAAAGCAGATTAAGGAGAAGCTGAAAGAAGTTGATCAAAATGGTAGATTCTTTTGGCAGCAATTAACTGGTTTTGGGAAAAAAAAAGAAAGAAGAAGCTTATATCAGATTGTGTAATGTTTTTGTGTTCCTGATATAAGGCACGTAACCCTTTCTTTCTTTTTCAATTAGTACTACCCTGATAATGTTCTACCTGGATGATGATGTCTTTGTGTCTATATCTATGTTTGACTTGATTAAAAATGCTTTTCATTAACTGAAGTTTATGGATACAAAACATTCTTCAGCACTTTTAGTTTTCCATACTTAAAAGAATATAACCTGTCTGAAATTATCTTCCAGGCAAGAATGCATCTCCTATGATATGTGGGACAGATTAGTGGACGGGTTTTGTTTTATGTTTTCAGGTGCATAACCCTTGTCTCCTGATTTCATGGATATTTTTAAACTGAAAAAGCTGATGAAGAAAAAGAGAACATGTGGTAGCTGATATAGTAATCAACGGTCTTTCTCTATGTGCATATTAAATGTGGTTCAGTAGTTAAAATTCATGCAACTTTGTCGCAGTTCGCATGCTATTCTTTTCTTTAACTGAAATTTTTGGATACAAAAGTAGTTTAGCTCAAGGATAATTTGAATATTCTATTTTGATTAATGATTTCAGAATTTAAAAGCGGTTTTTGATATTGGTGTATTATGGTGGCTCAGTTGTATCTTATTAAGGAGTAAGAAACTCAAATTCCATAACTATATAACAGAGTCTATGATAAATTTATGTATTTTATAATCAGTAAGACTTATTAGGTGTGTGGTTATTACATAAATAAGATAACAATTTACAAAACTTTCTTCAGTTCTATGTTATGTGATCAGTTGTGAAATTATCTTGAGACATAGTAGTCATTCTTCTGTCATCAACAGAATTTGATCATGAACCATATCAAAGGTCAGAAGCAATACCTAGCCTTTCCACATTGTCATTGTGACAGATAACACTAACAAATAGGACAGATTAGTATATTACTCCAGTAATTTAAAAAAATGAAAGACAAGCTTGATTTCCTTTTATGGTTTCAACTGCATTTTTCTCTTGATGTCATGGATATTCTTAAATTTTTAAGTTATTTTTAGGGCTAATATCAACTTACTTTCATGTAGTTGTTTTATATCATTTTGGTTTCATTTCTTTCTATTACAATATTGTACTTTCAACCTTTTCTTATTAAGAGGGTCAAAAGTAGAATAATGGTTGTTTCTTATATAAATTTAACATATAATATTTCTTTACCTCTATAATATTTTCTTCTCCCTTATACTCAAATTATAAGAAGCTAAAATTGACAGAATAGAGATCAAAATCTTATCTAATTATGTTCCTATATACACATATAAATGGCCAGTAAGTCTAAACTAAAAGTCGATAAACATCCATAAAATGAAAAAAAAAAACACATAATGGTTATAGGAAAAAACAAATACAGATCAGAAGAAAAAAAAAACTACCAAGAATGCAATGTTTATGTCTTAGTTTCCACTCCAACACAACCATATTTTAACTACCTAAACTATTAATTTCATCACAATGTTATATGGTTATTATTTTGGTTATTCAATTGCAAGCTAAAACATTAATATTAATAATGAATAAATAAATATATTACTAAATTTACTTTTTTTTTTTTATATAAAGAAAATTGGATTTAAATTTATATAAATTAATATATCTTAGTTGTTTTGTAAATAAATAAATAAATATATTTTTAAATGATTTAATATGTTGAATTGTTGATTTAGAAAGATGTTAATTTTGTAAAGGTTTTATAAAAGAACCGAACCGAACCGTTGGAAGTGGGTAGTCAAAAGGTTTGGGTCGGTGTATTTGCGCTGAATATTTACCACCCCATCATATCCAAATGTTTTATTGAGATTTTGAAGTTCAATTAGAGAAAGATAAAAGTTTTATATAAAGTTGTTTTGAAACAGAATTTGATTGTCATTGTTACAGAAATATTGGACTTATGTATGTAATTTTCACACTGCAAGATTTTAGAGACTGAATTCGATTTTTGGGTTTATCAAATGAGGCTAGACTAAACAAGTTCAAATTGCATCAGATATTCAACAACAAAATGTTGAGGTGTAAATTTATCTGTGTACATGTTTGCAACATTCATCACATGTTATAAAGCTTTTCCTTTATATGATGATACCCTTCCCTTGGTTTTGTCCCCCTTTATATTGTCAAAGCTTTAAATCCTCTTTCTTTAATAAACTGCATGCAGTTAATGCCCAATCTTATGGATGCTGCTGTGATTCACTCTTCTGCATAAGCCATATTTTGTGTGACACAGACATTGCATATTGCAAGTTTCACCCTATAATGCTTTAAAATGGTTAAATTTGTGATTAGTTGCTTATTACTCTGATGACATTTCAAAGTTTTTATTATTAAAACACTGTAATATCAAAATTTAATCCAATTCCTTTTGACAAATTTTATACATTTCTAAAATATTCTGTGAACCACATGTTCCCTTACATTTGTCTGGGATAAATTGCTATTCTTAGTTCCAATTCCTTTGACAATTTTCATTAATTACTCTGTAACAAGAAAAGGTTATGGAAACTAGTGGTGGAGAAAAGGTAAAGAAGATGACCCTGAGAATCAAAGTGTAAACATGTATGTGTTTATTCTTAATACTTATATAACACTAAATGCTTTTTATGTTCTCATTTAGTTTTTTTTTTTGTTAATGTTTAAAGTTACTCTTCAAGTCCCATCGAATGTCAGTTAAGGTGTTGTATTGGGTGATTATGCCTTCATGGAAATGAAATGCAATACATGTAGCTATAGCTATGAGTATATGATCCTGTTTTTGTATTTCCAGAAATACCCCTCTGTTTCTAAAACTTGTGGTTGTTTTTGTCTTTAGGAAATGATGGAATTAACATACTCCATGTTGACTCAATTAAAAAAAGATTCTGAATATTGTATGGAGAACGCCTTCAACACTTATTTAGTACGCCCCGTAATTCTTTACAAAAGATACTTGTTATTTAATCAATTCTTTTATTTATTTAAAAAGTGTACTTTTTTATTTAGTGAATTGGGACATCATGGAAGGGAAATGCTACATGGTGTGGTCTTTTGGTGGGTTGAAATGTTAAGAACAAGTGGTCAATAGCTGATTTATTAAAGTTTGATATAAATTGCCGAATGGAGTGTAGCTGATTTATTCCTTTATTGAGGTGTGTAACATTTTTTTTTGTTCATTTGTTATGAGTAAAACGACAATTTTTGGGACTGAAACTGCAAGAACCAGCTATTCTTAGTGACCAAAATAGCCACTTTACTTGGAACAGGGACTGAAAATGTTACAAGAACCTCAAATAAGGACCCAAAATCATAAACTAGGTTTAATCAAAGACTATAAGTGTAATTTACTCTTGTTTCTAAATATTATATTCTGCCTTTTTGTATCCATCTGGTTTGTGCATACAGAAACACCCTTTCTGCTTTTAGAGGAACAACTTGGATTAGTTCATATTCGGTATCATGTCCATTTTCATATAGGGCAGTAAGTTATTTCTAAATGAGTTATTAAAGTTT